TTTACCTGGGTCTTTATTTGCTTTTCCATCTAGGTGCTCTTTAATCCGGATGTGAAGTGGTCTGCCTGTTTCGCCAATATATTCATCACTACATGTCTTACAAGAGATTAGGTATATTGTACCTACGCTCATGCAATCGCCGTCTCTACGTTGGGGCAAATAAGCGCAGGTACTTCGTATACCATAGAATATATGAATGAATAGTAGTGATGAATATATTGGCGAAACAGGCAGACCACTTCACATCCGGATTAAAGAGCACCTAGATGGAAAAGCAAATAAAGACCCAGGTAAACCTCTAGGTACACATAGGATTCAAAGACACAACGATGATGACTTCGAGGTAGTAGTCAAAATTCTAGGGCACGAACCAAAGACATCGGCGCGAAAGACCCTTGAAGCTTTTTGGATAAATTCCAAAAACCCGCAAATGAACAAAAAGGGAGAGTGCCTTAACATAACCAACTATGGCACCTTATCTCAGATTGATTTTCTAGCATGGGTCCCAGCTGACACCTATGCATAGTTTGATCTATTGACATGGGGGCGGGTTCATACGTCACCCTGGCGCTAACAACATAGGTAGTCCCTAGATTAGATGGTTAGGTGAGTGGTTTTCCCTGAATCGATTTTCGCTTACAATACTTTAGATTTTCAAATAATTTTTTTTCTCTTTCCTTATTGTATAGTCATATAAATAAAGCTGCAACGAATAATACGTTCAGGCTCTGAAGAAGGCATATTTGCCGAAACGTCAGCCACAAGCAATCGAGAAAACCCATCGACCGGAAATAAGAGCATTCATCAATTATCTCTTCATGTATATCCTCTTCATGTAAGCTGACACAGTATTATGCAATAATGGCTGGAAGTTTGAAGGTATCACTTCCATCGAAGTTTAGGTAGGTCTAATTGACTCGCACTTGTTCAGTCGACCACTTCCAAACGCACACCTTCAAAGAAGTGAATGCTGAGTGACAATAACGAAGAGACAAGAAAGATGCACTGTTGACTAGTTTATCTAAGCACGCCCGTGGCTTATTGCACAGAGTTTTTCGTATGCAAAAGTATTCGACTCGTCTTTACAAGCATGTTCCATATAGGATTCGTAATACGCAGCATAGTGTATGCATGCAAGAGATGAACATGGAGGAGGATACCATTGGGAAGAAAAGGACGATCATGTCTGCGGTTCAGTGATGGACGGCTACAACCATGTGCACGTGACTACCGTGGTGTTATCTTGAGTTCTTGGAATTTAAGAGAGGTAAACGGAATCGTTTTGAGATCGATCAGCTAAAAAATACATAGAATGCGCAAAATAAGTTGCATGTACAACAGCAAAGGTTGCAATGATGAATAACTCTCATAGTATGTATAGATGAATAATATAACAAGCAAAAACTCATATACCGATGAATTATTTCTACATAGATCTTAACTCTTGCAGCCAGCACAGTAATAATCCATTATTAAGTGTTATCGATGAACTGGTATTGAATCCAGTATACATGGTCATTATAGAACAAATATACATTGTTTTTTGACATATAATAGCTGTGATGATTTTCGGATTCTTTGAATGTAGAAAATTATTCAAGACTCAAAGATTACATCGTAATGTTCTTTGTATAACTTATCACGTTTGATTGAATGGCAAAAACACTACGATTGCAGAATCAACTAGAGCTTTGCTTCACATGCACGAGCTTAAACATCCTTCAAAAGCATATGAGCGAATAGAGGAAATTGTGGTGTTTCAAGGTAATACAATACATCTAAGAATTATCACAACACAAAGGAAGAAATCCCAACAAAACAACGAAATTTGCGTACAGCTGCGCAATTCCCGCTGGCCTGCATAGATTTCTACAGCCGTTCCTTAAAGGTCAATGCATTGGTAGTCATTCGATAAATTGACCACAAGAATTTCAGTAGTGTAACTTATTTTTTGAACTACTTTCTTATTGCTCTGCTATATTGGATATGAAATTCTCTTTCATACCCAAGCATTTTTGCTTAAGAAGGTTTCTCCAACAAACCTGCAGTGACCATCAGACAAGAAAAGTCTCAGTGATTTCAACGATGTGCTTGATTCTTGGTAAGGACTTCACAGTGTGCTGAAACTACCAAGCGAGGAATTGGTTTTTCAAATTTGGCACCGAAAAAAAGCGGTGGCTCAATGCCTATGTTGCAAAATCCTATTCACCGTACCGGCAAAGCGCGGTGGTTTGGTGTCAATATCGCGCTGTTCGTCAAGATTCTTTGGGCTACTACAGCCCAATAAAAAGTTTTTTCAGAAAACAAATAAACCATTGAAGTTGACGAGATATAAGCTATCAATCGGCTACTAAAAAATTAGAAGAAACACTCTGAGCAGCGAAAAATGCGACGAAACGCACCGAGCGTGAAACATATTTTTATTTTCACAGTTACAACGGATCGAAAAGTCATTTCAAAAACAACAAAACATCGTTTAAATCCTTGAGAAGGCGCGTTTTTCGTAAGAGGTCGAATCAAGGTGCGGAGTACGAAAATGCTCCAATTTGTGAAACTCAATGTTGTTTTGACTGCCAGAGCGCAATGAAAAGACCTTTTTCTAGAGCCGGATACATTGCTGGGATTGCCAAAATACAAACTATTCACTTATTGCTGAATATCTGACGGAAAATTTTGCCCAGCTAATAATATTTGAATAAGAAATATAGTTCCATCTTTGTGTTACGGCACAATGGTGAAGTTTTTTGGAAATAAAATGCAACATCCAATTTGTTTTGACTAAGGTTTTTGAATGAACATTGAGAATCAACGAAAGAAAATCCGAAAAATGCGTTGTTGCCAAGGCGTCGAAACGGGATGTGAAAAACGGAACTATCACTGCCATTCTTTGATTAAGGTATCCGCGGACCTAAGGCGACTTACAAAAGTGAGGAAAGTCAAAATGAAGTGCTTTTTAACTCCTCAAAAAGTCCTATTTTACTGCAGCTTTCATAATCAAATATACAGCAGTTTTGAATAACAATGATGAAACTACGATATTCGAGAAACTGAGCTCGAAAACACGAAGAATAACGTGATCATTAAGCAGAGCTGATCTGTTGATGATTGATGAGATCATCAGCAATAATGGGGTATATATAATCGAAGGCTTAAGTGATTTACAAAGTTGTTGGTAGGAATGCTGCAACAAATCGACACCGGTGTTTATATAATGCTCACTGAATCGGTGGAGTCAGTTTGCTAGAGAAGATTAGAGAACACTGCTAGAGAAGTGGACCCAGAGTGGGAGAAGAGGCAGAGACAGTGAGCCAGGGGAGATTTGACATGTCTGCTAAGAAGAGGGACGCAGAGTGATGGAATGCGCTCCTGTCTCGATGCGGGCAGCCAAATATGATCAGTTTGTGATAATCGATCGAGACAAACTTAGGGTCTAAGGTAGTTTCGACTAATAATACTGAAGTGAATACGGGAAAATATACAAGAGCAATAGAAAAAGTGTGGGTTTATCAGGGATGACAAATGATATCAATGTTTTAGAGGCATGGTGAATTAGTATAACTCTCTTATCTGGTCCGTAACTTGTTTTTTCAGATATTTACACAGCAAGTGACATAAGAGATGCCGTGGCCGAATGGTTGTGATGTTCGTCGTGGAGTTTGTGAAGCTGAGTATATCCACCAACACTTTCCAGTGGTCAACATTGAATGGCCTAGAAACGCCACAGCCAGGCCATCCTCGAGATTGCAAGGAGACTCTCTAACCAATATTTTACGCCGTTTGAGAAGAATAAACAATGCGGTTGGATGCTAGAAGTGTTGGATGCCGCACAGTGAAAAAAACCCTCAGATATGCATCAAATAAAGTATGAAAAATCGGTTAATCTAGTTCACTCAGCATCTCAAGATTTTGACATAATCCAAATTTTTTATTTGAGGGAATACTCAGAGCAAATACTACGCAGCCTCACTGAAAAGAGAATTGTATAGAATTCTTTTGAACACGATTACAACATCTCTGCTTGCGATAGCACTTGAAATAGAATCTCCGTTCACATAAATGCTATGAAGTATAAAATGGTCGGGAGATCGGCTTTGAAGAATAATCCGATAAGATGGAGACTTTCATGAGGTCTGGTTTGACACCTATACATTACTGGACACGTGTTTTGCATTCACAGCCTCGTCAGTAGCAGTGCCTTTCGACTGCTGCCTGTACTACAGTGCACTTTGCTACTGACGACTTGGAAGTGCGAAAAACGTGTTTATTACAGTATGAGCGCTATGCCAGACCTCATAAAAGTCTCAAACATATTAACAAATTATCAGATTATTATTGTTTTGAGTGAGGTCTATCTAAGCATTTGCAAGCATAGGTATTTTGAAGAATAGTTTGCTGAACTCCTCAGGTGATTTAGAAATTGTTATAAGAAGTATTTATGCCATTGCGTAAATCCCATCACAGATTTAATCGAGGTATCATATGATGTATTGAAGTTGCAATCGTTGCCATTATTTTGGTGGGAAGATTCCCACCCGGAGCGCAATAGTTATGTTCCACCTGTTTCGCTCGCATATCGAATCCGGCGGCACGGTAGAACTATCCGCTCTGTATCAATTTTCCAAAAACGTTGAACGAACATGAATATGTAATTTTTTCAGTTCCTTGCTGTAGCAGTTCCGTGCTTTTCAAGTTGAGATTCCAGTTGGCGAATTCCGCAGCAACATTCTCTTTTAAATCTCCATACGATGTAAGAACGAAGTCAACAAAACTCAACAAAGGCAAGAGAAATGTCGTACTAAGCAACTTTTCACCTGAGAATCGTACGAGTATTTTAAGTCTTTTTTAACTGCCATTCATGGTCATAAAGAGGAGCATAAGACCGTGCATAATTTCGAGCTATCCTCAGTAATAATTGCCTTATTACGGCGTTTCCGTAATTCCCTGCACACTGAGGTTCTCTATAGTAAATACCTAAGAGAACCGAGCGGTGAGCAAAAATATGGCTCCAGGCGGGAATCGAACCCGCGTTTCATCCTATCCGGGGAAGCTGTACTACTACACCACTGAGGCACATTGCCCGACCACTCATTCTTCAACATCTCTATGTCAGCTATCAGCCACCAACCTTTAACAGGTTTGGTCGAGTATGCGATTTCGCTTTATAAACCCAGTTGAGCTGATAGTCACTGTTAGATATATTATTCAAGAATTCTAGCATTTTTGCTGTTTTTTCGTAGTGCTGTGGTTTTCATAAATATCTCGGTGGTAGATCACGCGTCCCCGGATAGGATAAAACCCGGGTTCGATTCCCGCCTGAGGCCATGTTTCGCTCACCACTCAATTCTCTTAGGTATTTATGAAACATCATAACACTACG